TTTTCTACTAATATTCACCTGCTAAAAATTTTGACACCCTTTTAATTCCAAAGCCATGCTAGAAAAACAAATCCACTACTTACATCTCTATCAGAGAAGTAAGAGATGGTAAACAAATGGAGTAAGAGGTAGAGAGAAAAGACAGGTGATATGGAGAGTGCAGGTGCTATAGTTTGGATCCTGAATGTGTTAAAAAGGGTTGGTCCTCAACTTTGTGCTATTGAAAGGTGGTGGTACATTTAAGATGTGGGGCCTAGTGGGAGATTTTTGCCAAAAAAAATCTGGGGTCATGCCCTTGAAAGAGATTAGAACACTACCCCTTCCTCCATCTGATTTTTGGTGGTTTTTTTTCCCCCTCTCCCCAGCTGCCATGAGGTGAGCAGCTTGATCCATCATGCACTCTCCTCAATTACCACAATCCCATAAAGAAGAGGTCTACTCAACCATGCAATGAGACCTCTAAAACTGCCAACAAAAGTAAACCTTTTTTCTTTATAAGCTGATTATCTCAGATATTTTTTATAGTAATAGAAAGCTGACTAACACATTAGGCTTTCTTGGTTAAGACAGCTTTCTAATACTCAGTTTCAATTTTCATGAGGCTTGAATGCTTTGTTTCCTATCTCTGATTCCACAAATATCTGTCTCCCAGTATTGCACTCCCTCTTTGATTTGAGTGAGTCAAAGTATTTCTGGTGCACTCGTTCCAAAAACAATGAAAAATAACCTACTTAGAAATCCTGTTATTATTTACATGCATCTTTTATGTCATTAAAGTTATGATAAACTTTATGTACATGTGCATTTTTTTCCAGAAAAGCTGGCTATAAAACTTATTACAGTATATCATTGCCTAAGGGTAAAATATTAATAGCAAAACATAGAAAATACTATTCTTATCCCAAATGCACCTTGTTAGCAATAACCCCAAGCTCCAAAATAATACTAGAATCAAACTAAAATACCAAGAATAAAAAGTTCAATATTACCTGTTTGATATTGTCCCCTGGAAGTTATCAACAAAAGGTTTTGAAACTTATTAACCAGAGAATTTCATTTCCTAGGCATATTTACATTTCCCTCAAAGACACAATAAGGGAAGTCCTAACTAAAGAAATTGGCCTTCAGAAACTGTCAGTCTTTGGCTTAGAAATATCAGAGTATCTTATGAAATGAATAACTGTGACTATGAATTAAAAATATAGCTCAAAAAATAATTAACAATGGACATTTTAAATAAATAATAAAATACTAAGAATTTCAGAAAAAAGAATTATACCATGATTTGCAAAACAAATCTCACTTCACCTCCTCCAGTCAGAGCTTGGCAGCCTGGTCCCATTTAGCATGTAGCTACTTTCTATTTTCTCTTCTACTTCCATTTTTGGTAAAATGGACTGGCTGTTTGGCTCCTGAAAACTTACATCTGTATTAATTAAAAGCAAATATTCTTCTGGGATAAAAAATGTCACACTTGGTCTACTCTGCAAATTTCTAATCTTCTAGACAAATTTCAACGTTCATATTTCAATATATAATAATTTCTCAAAAAAACTCTAACCACCACTTTAAATGTCTTTCACTTTATTCTTAACTCAGATTTTAAAAATATGAAAGTTTATATCACTCATAAAATCAGAAGGTTGACTAAACTAATCAAGGAAGAAATCATTAAGAACTAGATAGTGATTATGAAGCCACTGAAAATACTTAATGTCAAAAGTATTTTAAAATTGTACTCCATATATGTTAGGATCAGGGTTTCAGTGTGATTTATACCTGTACTCTCAGGAAGCAAAAAGAATTCCAGCTTCCTGACAAGTGTCTCCATTACGCAGAGGAACTATAAGCTTAGCTTGGTGATGAGGAATGCAAGGAAGATCTTTAGCATAGGATGCTGTAATACTGTAAAATCCTTGAAATCTCCAAAGTGATAAGGATTTTGTTGTTGTTGTTGTTGTTGTTGTTGTATATTCCAGTGAGTTAACTGGTGGCTGGGTAGCTTAAGGATGAAACTGGTCACAGGAAAGACCAGGGCAGGATTACAGATTTGAGACTTTTCATCCCCATCCCCAACCTCTAAGAAGGGGAGAGGGACTGAGGTTATGTTGACTACCAATCACCAATGATCTTATCAATCATGCCTATGTAATAATGAAGGTTCCATAAGACAAAGGCTGAGGTTCAGAGAGCTTCCAGATAGCTGAACACACAGTGGTATCTCAAAAGTGGTGCGCCCAGAGAGATCACAAAATCACCTCACCCATTCCCTCATACCTTACCCAGGGCTTCTCTTCATTGGTATCCTCTGCAACATCTTTAGGATAAACCAATAAATATAAGTATGTATTTCTCTGAGTTCTGTGAGTCACTCTAGCAAATTCCCAAACCCAAGAACTCCTAATCATAGTCAATTAGTCAGAACACCGGTTTAAAAAAAAAAAAAAAAGCTGGGGTTGGTTTATGATTGGCATCAGAAGAGACAATTTGTGGACTTAGTCCTCAACTTGTGAAATCTGAGGCTATCTCCAGGTAGACAGGGTAGAATTGAATTAGAGGACACAGCTACAGAAGCGAATAGTTGTTAATAATAAGAAATCCCCATACATTTCTTTGTGAAATCTTCTGAATTGATTATGTTAAGTAGAAATTATAATAGAAGAATCTAAGTTCCTTCTTCCTCTTTATCCTCAGAGATGCCTTTGAATAGGACTAAAGAGATTAGGGTTAAGAAAAAGCCCACAAAGAGCAAGAGTAGAGCTGCAGACCAAGGTGGGGCATGAGAGTTGTGCAAAGATAGAAGAGGTCAAAAGCATCAAGTGGGAACGAAATAAGCCCCAGCCCTTGACACTGTGAGAAGAATCAGAGGCAGCTATTTGGAAAGACCCAAGTGCTCAAGTATCAGTCGATCCCTAACACCACCTTAAGCAGTAGTCTACAGGCAATAAAACTACAGTAAGAAACGAGAATTTATACTCTAATTCAATACACACAAATGTACACACATATATACATCAAACCAAAGGTCCTCTGATATCTATGCCATTAAATGTAATATATTCTACTATTCATATTTGTCTTCTTTCATTTTTCATGCTAAAAAAAAATACAGGGTCCAATCAACTAAATTAGTTTTTAAAACCCTGTAACAGTTTGACAAGCTCTATGCTGGAGCACTCACTATGTGACTTTGGGAACAGGAGAAAGTAAGGATACTGTGGGATCACAGCTCAGCCTGAATCCTGTTTCTCTACCAAATTTCTGATTTCCTTCACTAGTTTTGAATAGATTTCAAACCATCCTGACACAAATGCTTCTGTTTCAGCACCCTCTCAAAAACATACATTCAAAAAAAACTGGTCTGCTTTCCACATCCCAGATTTCCCACGTTTGCCTATCCCTGGGATGCCCTCCTCCTTAGAATTTATTTCCACCAATCCAAGTCCATCTGATTTCCAAGGTCAAGCTAAAGTAAGCCCTCCACATACAACGAATTTCTCTTTGCCTCTGAAATTCTAAAACTTCATCCTTTCTTACAGTCTATCTTCTACTCATACATACAACCTGCAGCTACCCTCATTTCCTATCCTGCCCCATTCCCGTGCAGAGTACAAACACAGTTTTTATAAAGAAACTACTTAATATGTACTTTACATGGTAATTAACAAGTGAATATGGATCTCCCATACAAGGAAAAAACTGACTACCAACAAGAGTTGAGGTTCAAAGACCCAAGTCACCAAGAATCCCTCAACCCAACCAGAACCTTATATTCTCTTCAGCAGATACTTCACCTTCAGCCTTTGAAATGACAGTTACAACAAGCATCATAGGAAAACATGAATGTTTAATAAACTTTTAAAATTCTTCTTTCAATTAAGAAAGTAGAAATTTAGGAATAATATCATGTTTTTATATTCTGACTTCTGTTAATTGAAATTTAATCTCCCAAATGTGATAAATGTATCTATACAACAGATATGACAGCAAAATGAACGTATCCCATCAAGTACCCCCCACTTTGGTTCATTATGATTCAAGCAGACTGGTCTATTGTCCCTCAAGTAAGCATCCTTTCCTGACTACCACCCTTCTTTTGATTATGATATTTTGTGTATCTCCTTTAAAATATTTTTTCATGTCATCTTTTAATCATACATTTTCATATCACTTTCCCCAATTAAATAATTAAAAAGATCTAAATCAGAAATATTAGCATCAAAGCATCTTAAATCTATATTCAAATGTTTTAAATTGATCTAGTAACTTCCTCACTTGATAAATATTTATAAAGAAACTGCTGTGTATTCAAATGCTGAACTGGAAACAATAAACCTTTGAAGTACTAAACTGAAAGTGCCATGCTTCCAAAACAAAGAGGATAATAGGATAATAGTAGATTCAAATTCATTATCCTAAGTTGAAAATCATATACCTACATATGTTTGCATTTCTGTACTACAAAGAATCAGCAAGCAGTAAGGAAAAAAAAATCTAAAGATACTCTCAAGGTCAAATAGTTCAAACACATATATAATGTGACAAATTGTCAAAAAAAACATAAAACCTTTAAAAACTTATCACTTTTAGTTTTAGAAATGCTGCTCAACTATGAAGTAAATCAGGACAGAAATATTAAATATAAATATCTATATAGACTATACTTCTGTTTTAACACTAACGAAGTAAGGGCCATTTATATTTGATAGTAAGTAGTCTTTTCACTTACATTTTTCATGAACAATACATACTGTTTAAGCTCAAATGCCTATAAATAGTTAAAATTTATCAAGTATCTCTATATATTCTGTTTAAGCCTCTAAAACTATTTTAAATGTGGTGAGCCAATAGTGAAATTATGCAAATATGAAATAATTTTATAACTACAACTACATATTTTAAGAATACTGTTATAAAATTGAATAAGTTATCAATGATTTAACTATTAACTAATTGACTATTTTTACTAATGTCTTATGAACATACTAAAATATTCTTACCTTAAATATGTGCCGTATATGAAGAATAATGCCATCATTAGTCCATTTAAAATAAAAATTACAGCAACATAAAAGCAAGCAGGATCTCCCAATCCTTTAAAAATAAACAAAACATATGTTCTAACCAAAATTACTTTATATGTCTAGCAATGTAAATTAAACTGCACTTATTTTGAAAACAGTTGCCAAATAAATGGTCTCCTTGGTTCCCACATGAAAACATGATGTTAATAAAGACTAAAGATGAGAACAGTGTAGTGGGGATTTAAAATCAGGGTGGAAATTTTCTGATATGCCTGCTATCCAAGTGCAGAGTCTATGCCCTGTTTTTGTGTGTGTTTGTTTGCTTCTTTGTCTGTTTCTCTGGGTATGTATGTGTGTGTGTGTGTGTGTGTGTGTGTGTGTGTGTGTTATTAGGGAATAAATCTAGGGCCTTACACATGCTAGATAAGTGCTTTACCTCTGAGCTATAGCCCCAGTCCTTTGCAAATTTCTATTTTAGGCACAGTCTTGCTGAATTGCATAGGGTGGTCTCAAAACTCAAAACTGTCTTGCCTCGGCTTCCAAGTAGTGAGGATTACAGAAATGCACCACTGCTCCCAGCTTAAACCCTATTTTTCAGTTTGTGTCAGGATGCAACAGAGTAAGGCATAAGTAACACCAAGCGCCTTGTAAGGCTAGGGCATAAGAGGCCACACAGTGCCATCCTGGAGCCTAGAGTTACAATAGGAAAAGCATGTCTACTATGAAGTATTTTGCTATTAAAAAAAAAAAAGCCCAAAGCACATGAAAGGCCGCAAGCAGGTGTCCTAGCTGAGCTCAACCTCATAGTCACCCCAGCCCAGGAGCCAGAACGTGGGTGAAGTAGGTTGCATTTAAGTCCACTTTCCCAGACACTTGAGTCTTACTAGTAGAGCCCCTGACACCAGGAGACAAATCAACCCTGTCTAGCCTGCCCAAATTTCTGACTTGCAGAATCTATAAGCATAATAAAATGGTTGTTATTTATATCATTAAGTGTGGGACAAGCTTATTATGTTGCAATGATAACTGAGCAATATCATAGGAAAAAACTTACCTTCACAACTTTCAATAGGACTGAGTCCTTCTCCTCTGGTAACTGTCCAACATATCTTGGTTTGAATACCAATCATGTCCATTATTTTGGTATAAATTCGGTACCAGCTGGCCAAGATTACCTATTTTTAAGAAAATAAACACACTATAAAAAATATTATTCTAGAACAGTAATCCCAGCTACTTCAGAGGCTGAAGTAAGAAGTCACCAGTTTAAGGCCATCCTGGGGAACTTAATGAGACCCTAGTTCAAAAATGGCTCTGGGTATAGCTGACCTGTTGAGAGCCACAGCCCAAGGGGCCCCAGCAAACTTCCAGCTGCCAGCAAACTTCCAGCTGCTGGCTGATGATTGGCTCACAGCGGCCCCAGAAACTTCTAGCTGATTGGCTCCTCTGCGGTGATGCTCATTGGGCTGTTTCTCTGCCCTTTCAGACCACGGAGCTGCTCATTGGAGGACTTTTTTGGCTCCGCCCATGTGACCCAGCCAATCGGCCTCAAGAGCAGGAGGATTGTGGGAGGTGGAGAGGCTGGTGGTGGTGGGAGAGTCTTGTGGGAAGCCGGTGGTGGCAGTTGGGCTCTGAGGGTTTTTCCTGAGGAGCTGTTTTGTTTGCATGTGTGGTTCTAAAAATAAAGTTTGTTTCTTTTGACAAGTGGCTCCTGAATTGTGCCCAGCCAGACTGCGGCATTTCGCCTAGCCATCTCCTTGCAAAATTCCTCAATGGCAACCTTCCATAACAGGTATTGTCCTCCATTTAGCACAGCTTTACACATATTAGCCCAATCTGCTGGCATCATGTTCAAGTTGTTAATGGATTCAACCAAGCTTACAGTGAAGGGTGCTTGAGGACCATAGGTTGTTATAGCCTCTTTTAGCTGCTTCACTGTTTTGAAATTTAAAGCATGGTGAATTCGCTGCCCTCCTGCCTCAAATACAGGGCATGTTAATATTTGAGATCCTGTCTCAGGATCTCAACTATCAACTGCGGGGGTTGGGGGCCTCCCAGCATATGGAGGTGGCCTTGTTAGTTGGACATTTACGTCCTCTGGTGATAGAAAGGTGTTAGTAGCAGTCTCCTGTAGAGGTGGTGCTGTTGGTTGGACACTTACACCCTCTGGTGATAGAAAGGTGTTAGTAGCAGTCTCCTTTAGTAACTTTCCCCCTGATGACTTTTTCTGCTCTACACTTTCTTTCTCCATCTGACTAGCTTGAGAGGCCTTTGGACTAAGCAAACAAGATATGAACGTCCACAATGGCAATGTGCCAACTGGCAGAGTCCCTGGGCTGTTCTTTTCTATTCTTTTTAAATCTTCACCATGATGGTTCCATTGTGATATATTCAACAACTCCTCCTCAAAAATCCATGGGCTACATTTTTGTATTGTATCAACCTATGCCCTGACTGCTCTTGATTTTACTGGGATGCCTCCTTCCTCTAACAATTTACTTAACACTCTTTCAGTTTGTTTTTTACTAATTTCTGATCCCATATTTCTACTATAATACAACCCAACAAGATAACACCAAACAAAACCGAGACAGAATGAAATAAAAATGGAACAACAAAAAATCATTATAGCCTTTCTATCCTCCTGACATGTCCATCCGTCCTTAAAAGTTATAAGGCCTTTACTATTATGTTATGTGTTGTATGTATTATATTATGTGTGCACACTTGTGTTTTGTGTTATATGTTTGAATGTACGTATGTCCATATATCATATATGATGAGCGCTCATGAAAAAATGGATCCAAATAATTTTTTTTATTCACGTGATTTAAATGGCTTAATTTAAATTGGGTAAACAGCTGTTGAGGATTGTTTTAAAATGTAAACAAAAAAGGAGGTTAACAGATCTGTTTGTTTACTTTCACCTTTCCTTTTCATTATATTTAATAATTCTCTTCAAGACAATGTAAATTGTTAAGAAAATTGTTTTCCTTTAGTGCCTTCTGGAATGTTACATAATTTTTCCTTTAGCTATTATTGCCAGAATTCCTATCTTCATCCCAGTGCCGGTGAAGACAAAAATAAAACCAATCTACAGCTTCTGCAATAGCCATCACTGAACTGCTTGCAGAACTTGCCTGGACTATGTATCACTTGTATGCATTGTGAACTCACTTGTATGCATTGTGAACTATCTGTTGGTGCAGCGACTTGTGGTAGTGTTGGGGTATTTTTGCTGATGATGTCATCAGTGGTATAATTTTTCCAAAAGGAACCGTCAATTGGCTTGGTATATCTTCCTCCCTTCTGCTTGTCATAGTCGTTCAGCTAAAATTTGGGGACCAACAGAGGTGAGGCAAAGAACCTCACCCCCCCGCCGATACAAAGAGCTATCTACAGGTGTGGCTGTATACTGGACGGGTAGTCAGTGACGGGTAAGATCCAATTGCAATGGTACCAACCTAAGACAGGAGGCTGATGCCTTGAGGTCAGCTCATCCAATAACGGGTAAGGACCATATGTACTATTGGACAACCTAAGGCAGGCACAGTCCCTAAGCCACATGCTTGTTGTTTAAACAGAGAGGGGGAGATGTTGAGAGCCACAGCCAAAGGGGCCCCAGCAAACTTCCAGCTGCCGGCTGATGATTGGCTCACAGTGGCCCCAGCAACTTCTAGCTGATTGGCTCCTCTGCGGTGATGCTCATTGGGCTGTTTCCCTGCCTTTTCAGACCACGGAGCTGCTCATTGGAGGACTTTTTTGGCTCCGCCCATGTGACCCAGCCAATCGGCCTCAAGAGCAGGAGGATTATGGGAGGTGGAGAGGCTGGTGGTGGTGGGAGAGGCTTGTGGGAAGCTGGTGGTGGCAGTTGGGCTCTGAGGGTTTTTCCTGAGGAGCTGTTTTGTTTGGCGTGTGTGGTTCTAAAAATAAAGTTCGTTTCTTTTGACAAGTGGCCCCTGAATTGTGCTCAGCCAGACTGCGGCACTGACCTCAGTAACCTCTGAGCTGTATGTACCTCCAGAGCATTTGCCTAACATAGTATCACAAAAACACATAAAAAATCATGTACCTTGCAATCCCATTTCTGAAAAGTCAGAACATACTCAAAAGCAATACTTTCATGAGAAAATACTAGAACTTGATAGTTATTTATTTGTCTGTAACATTCATGTCCTCATTAATCTATTAACTAATTGATTTGGAGGCTGCTGCTGAGCAGAGACCCAGACAGACACAGCCTTGCCATCGGGGCACCTTCCAGCACATAATGAAGGCAGATATAAGGAAATGTGCTTCACAAGATCCTCCTGTTAAATCAATGAGGAAGTAAACCTCAGCTAGGCCCGGGAGAACGTTTAGGGATGTGTCAAATAAAAGCAGGGAGGGCAATGAGAGGCCAAAAATCATTCCTGATATCACTGCCTTCCTCCCTTACTTTCTGGGTATACAGACTCCTGCCCACCCTGCCCTAAAAAAGTATGCTCAATTAAATGAGGAATCACTGAGAAGCATTATTTGGAAAGACATGCAAGTTTGGTACTACTTTGCTATAATGCTTACAAACACATAGAATCTAGATAGTTTTCACATTTTTCTAATCAATGCAATCAAAACAATAGTTCTCATAGAATCTGTTAAGGTTCTCCTAGATCAGTAATGATCTGTTCCCCATATTCCTTCCCAAGATACACATTTTCTTTAAAAAAAAAATGAATAAAATTTAGAATATTAAATTAGATCTTAGATATAGAAACAGCATTTAATACAAAAAAAAAGCAAAAAAAAAAATCACAATTGGAAAAAAGTAACTTACCTCAGGGTAAAGATTGAACCTTTTTAATGTATTAATAACAAGAGGGTATTCAGTCAGTTTATCATTCATAATCATCCATACTCCATTCAAAAATGAGGGGGCTTCCACAATAGTCTTGAAGTAAGAATAATATAGCCCCTGAAATAAGGGTAGTAAGTTCCAGTTATAAAAAAGTACATAGTTATCATGTCTCCTCTTAGCCTAAAAAATGTTTTAAATACACTGTCTCTGAAAAAGAAAGCACTGCAGAAAGTGATGGCCACATTAATATTACAGGTTTCTGATCACTGATAAATTCTTAGTTTCAAAAAAAACTACATATTTTAGAATAACCTTGTCTTCATTAAAATAATTAAACACAAAATAGTTTCAAAATTTAAAATATATATATAAATAAAACTCTTAAAAGATATATAAATAAAAGTTTCAACACTTAAAAGATATATATAAATAAAACTCAGCATACTTCATCTAAGAAAAGTCTATAATCCATATTAATATGTATCAGAAAAACCTAGCTTATGAACAGAGCAAGTGGCTTATTTTGAAGCTAACATTTACCATGAACCAAGAAAAAAATGCTTCATCCTATTTATCTGAATCCCCAAAACAACATCAGTCATCTTTAGTCCAGATTTACATGCAAAAATGCAAATACACTGAGAAAGCTGCATAATGATGTTATGTATTAATTTCATTCACATGCCAAATAATTCTTTTAGATCATTTTCCCTCCTATCAATTCAGCATAAGGTAAGAACCCTGTGGGTCTGGGGATGGGGAGGGGTCCTGTTTTGACACAAATAACGGTTTAGTTTGACTTGCTACTTTGGAAACGTAGCCCAGACAGAATAAAACATGGGACAAAAAATGTGAAAGTACCAGACACCAAGGGAGAGATCGAAGTGGCAATATAAAGGCAGATAAACACAGAATACAAATACCATATCCTAAACAGTATTACCTATTAGCAGCTATCAAACTCAAAACTGGGTTTGGGCTCATAAACACTAAAGTGGTTTAACAACGTGGATATTTATTGAAAAAGAAAAATGTTCTTAATATTATAATGCTTTAGCTCTTTGTTTTTAAAATTAAATTTCCTACTGTACTGAGTTAAATAATGACTCTCAAAACTTCATGTCCACCAGAACCTAGGAATATAAGCTTACTTGGACAGGAATAGAAGCTTACAGGAAACAGATGTAATCAAGTTAAGATGAGATCATACTAGATTAAGATAAACTATAAATCCTATATAACCAGTATCTTTTTAAGAGGGAAATTTGCATACAGAGAGACAGCAAAAAGGGCCACATGAAGATGGAGGCAAAGACTGGAGTGACACATCAACAAGCCACAGAACACCAAGACTCCCAACAAAACACTACATGCCAGGACACAAAGGGAGATTCCCCCTACTGCCTTCAGAGAAAAGGTGGCCTGCTGACACCTTAACCTCCCACTTGTACAGAACTATAAAAAAATACAATTATGCTATTTTAAGCCATCTAATTTGGTGTAATTTGTTATGGCAGCCGTAGAAAAGTACCACACTTACCTAGTTTGGTAGGTTTGATTTTAGTTTATTTAATCTTAAAACAAAAAATTTTACAGTCCTAAGAACCAAAATAAAAATAAAAGGAATTAACTATCAACTGGGACGAGGACTTCAAGTAGCTTTAAGATACAGCAATTTTACTGTACATCCTTAGTGGAATATTGCCTAAAGTCAAAACACATTACAAGAAATTCTTGAAAACTGAAAACTATTTTCAGTAATCAATTTTTCAAAAATATCTTCAGTATTATTATTCCTAATAAATGTGTAATTTGAAATTAAGATTCTCAGACTAAGCAAAAATGTAGAAATTTACTATCAAGTAATTAAAAATCATCTAAAATCTTATTTTAAATATAACATAAACTCACAATTTATTTTCATTTTTTAAAAATTTGTTTCTTAATTCTGTTTGCTAAAAAGACCTAGACACAATGGTCAATCTAATAGCAATTAGTATTTTCAGTGCCAAGATGTGGTCTCTAAATACCATTTGCTACTAAAAGGAATTAGGGCTCTTTAGAAAATTGGCTGATGCCAGTTCTGGGGAGAAAACATTTTTCAGTACTTGAAAAAGTAAGGAAGATATGAGATACTAGTAAGGTCACATCAAGGGCATGCAGAGCCAAATGCAAATTTTTTACAAGCCATAGATAGCAAAATCTACAAAACATGTTAAAATCCATTAGATCATAAGGATACTGTAAGAAGGAACTCCACTATTCATGACTAAATGATACTAGAGAACCAACTCATCTTTCTAAAGAGTGGCAAATGAAAGAAAATAATTGCACAGTTTCCTATCTTTCCACTAAAAAAAATACCTCCCAGAGAATCCAAATAGGTATTCTGAGAAAGTTCTTCTTTATAAAATTACAGGGCATAAGTTCAAGAAAAAAGTAATAGAACAATCTCTGTTTGACATTACTAATGAGAAAACAGACCTAGACTGATAGGCTAGGTTTTAAGGAGGGACCAGCAAGACAATTCCTGAAACCACTGATTAAACTTAAAACTGCAAATTGGGCTGGGGATGTGGCTCAAGCGGTAGTGCACTCGCCTGTCATGCGCGAGGCACTGGGTTCGATCCTCAGCACCACATAAAAATAAAATAAAGATGTTGTGTCCACCGAAAACTAAAAAATAAATATTAAAAAATTCTCTCTCTCTCTCTCTCTCTCTCTCTTTCTCTCTCTCTCTCTTAAAAAAAAAAAAAAAAAAAACTGCAAATAATGAGACAACCAGGCATGGTACCAAAAAGAAAAAAATAAAATATTATACAAGACCACCTAGGAAGCATTTGTTCCAGAAAAAGAAGTCAAATCTTTGCCATGAAGATTTTAATTTATATAAAATCTATCAACAAATGTATGAAAAAATGCTCATCATCTCTAGCAATCAGAGAAATGCAAATCAAAACTACTCTAAGATATCATCTCACTCTAGTCAGAATGGCAGCTATTATGAAGACAAACAACAATAAGTGTTGGAGAGGATGTGGGGGAAAAGGTACACTCATACACTGCTGGTGGGACTGCAAATTGGTGCAGCCAATATGGAAAGCAGCATGGAGATTTCTTGGAAAATTCGGAATGGAACAACTATTTCACCCAGCTATCCCTCTCCTTGGTCTATACCCAAAGGACTTAAAAATAACATTCTACAGGGACACAGCCACATCGATGTTTATAGCAGCACAATTCACAATAGCTAAACTGTGGAACCAACCTAGATGCCCTTCAATAGATGAAATGGATAAAAAAAAAATGTGGCATATATACACAATGAAATATTACTCAGCAATAAAAGAGAAAAAAATCATGGCACTTGCAGGTGAATGGATGGAGTTAGAGAACTGAAGTTAGCCAATCCCAAAAAAACAAATGCCCAATGTTTTCTTTGATATAAGGAGGCTGATTCATAGTGGGGTAGGGAGAACATGGTAGGAATAGACGAACTCTAGACAGGGCAGAAGGAGGGGGAGGGGGCTTGGGGTTAGAAATGATGGTGGAATGTGATGGACATTATTATCCAAAGTACATGTATGAAGACACAAACTAGTGTGAATATATTTTGTATACAACCAGAGATATAAAATATTGTGCTCTATATGTGTATAATATAATAAGAATTGTAATGCATTCTGTTGTCACATATAAATAAAAAAATAATTAAAAAAAGACTTCAAGCTATCAATTTTCAGGAAAATCAGGACAGAGAAACACAATAAACACATGAATTATTGTGAATAATTCTATAAAAAAGTAATCTGAATTCAACAAATAAATAGTCAAAAACAAAACAACAAAAAGTGAGAAGGGAAATTTATTGATTTTAAGTCTCAGGAGATACATTAACTAAATGCAATATAGAGACATTGTTTGGATACTGATTCAAGCATACCAAGTGTTAAAAAGTGCCAGTCAGGTCATTTTAACAATGATTTATACTGATGATATTAATTGTTCATTCACTTTTAACTGTGACAAAGTACAGCCCTGAGCCACACCCCCAATCCCTGAGGGTACAGATGAAGGAAAAATGGCTGTGTTTTCAGTTGTTGAACATTGGGCAGGAGGGAGTTCTCTAGTCTTTCTACTTTAAATATTTTTTTTGAAATTTTCCATGATAAAAAGCTTAAAATTTTTTAGATTCCTAAAGTACTACAATAAACTACCACCTGAAAACTAACCATTTCAGTGCGAAAAGCCATCTCCCTTTCCAATGTTGAGAGGTGAGAAAAATGACGATCATTTTCAAAGAGGTGTGTTATATGGCTCCTGGAAAAAAACAAAACAAAATAAGTGTTGAAGCTCACCCTCAGTATTATTTGTAAAAGTAACTCGAAAAGCAAAAATAAGAGTGTCTATAAATTTATAGATATTTTTGTAATAAAACTGAAATACAATGGTGTCTATATTTTTTCACTCAGTATGCATTACATTTCTATTACAATTTGTCTCCACAAAAAAAGCACACTCAAACTAGATTTTAAAATTAAAATGAACCAGAACAATGGTATTTTAAGTCAAGCACAATAAAAACAAAGAGTAAACTGTAAATGTCATTGTGTTACCACTTCAGAAATGTATGATTAATAAAATTCATGTCTCTCTATCCAGAAGATTAAAAAAGTTAATCTTCCTCTCAATATGAATACTATAATAATGTTAAGCAAAGTAGAGTCTCTAATATAGCTTCTTTAATAATGAATCTCCTTTTTATTAAAAAATTATATCATTCTGACCCTGACTTATCATTTAAACTACTTTTTTCAGACTACTGTTATTAGTAATAAATATTCACTCTTCTTATAATGAAATTTTTTCCTTTAAACATTTGGTAAATAGCTTTGGTAAGTTAAAAACATTTGCATAAAATATACCATTGGGGATAAAGCAATCTTACCAGTGCAACACGGCTGCAAAGGCAGCTGAAATAAAACAGAAATTGAAATTATTATTTTAACATAAGGAAATATTTTCATTTTATAGAGATACCCTTCAAAGACAAGCTTGCCAAATTTTGAGATGTGGAACTATTGGGAGTAACCTTAGAGATTGGGAAAAGAATATTAGATCTTTGAAAGCACTGGGACTAAGTTTAAAATACCAGCAGAAGGGATCAGAGGGGAATGAAGCATATATGCACAATTTTCATTCACTCATATATTTCAGCAAAATACATGAGAGCCTATCATTTGCCAAACACTACCTAGGAACCATAAGATGGAAACTATCATGAATAGACCTGAAAGAAGAATAGAAGCAATAGGTAAGGGTAGCATAAAATAAAGAAATATGGTGGCTTGAGGGAACAACACTGGAAGAAGTAGTAAAGGAGGAAGTATCACTTTTTATACACTATTACAATGTCAGAGTTTTGACAATAAGTCTTACTCCTGTTTTTCAACAAATACAAAGTGAAAGAAGTAAAGGAGGGAGAAGGAGGTGGATTAAAAAAAAGGAAGAATGAAAATATATGAGAGAAAAAGCTACCATCATCAATCTCACATGAGAATCAGTAGTTTGCTTTCTGTCCAAGTACAAAGAATATATTAAGATGAATCCAGACAACACCAATCAACTTTCTTATATAACAAGAACACCTGATTGCAGGTTCCTAATTAACAACTGCTCAGGACTCAAACTATGAAAATGTTCTTTGAAGTGAAAATTAAATGGCTCACATCATACTGCTTTATTTTTAAAGCAGTATATTTTTACCGAAAAACTCATTTTGCCTTTAAGATATTAATGGTTACAAAAGACAGTTATTCTTTTTAATCATAGAAAATTATGAACATTTACCTTGGTTTGTCACTTAACTTTTTAAGTTACTGGGTATTTTTATTCACTGAAATTTTAATTTTTTTCTTTTAAAAAATAGATTTGTTGCCAAATCTACCATTTGCATCCTTTAAAGACTTCTCACCATAATAAAACTTGAGCTTTATTTTCTCAATGATTCAACTATTATTTTCTGAATGAGTCATTCTTCTTTCCTGAATGTAAATGATACCCTTTTCCTATAGAGGATTTGTAAAATAGACTTTGGTAATTCCTTTGAGTTTATGATTCAAATTTCATTTATAAATTAAATGAAGAAAAATTTACATTTTATATAGTCTTCATATCCCTAAACAGTGTATTACTTCAATTATTCAATTGCTTTTTAATTTCCCTTGAGGAAAACACTATCTACATAGTTAATCCAAGGGGAATACCTCTTATATGCAATTCTTGGAACCAGAAATGTTTCAAAGTTTGGATGTTTTCAGATTTTAGAATATTTTCATACACATAAAATATTGAAAACTTGGGGATGAAGCTTAAGTCTAAACATGAAATTACCTAGATTTCATATGTATCTTATACATGTAACCTAAAGGTAACTTAAGTACAACTGCATTTTGACTGACCAGTCTCATGAGGTCAGGTGTTCAATGTTTCACTTGTGGCTTCATGTCAGCACCCAAAATGATTCTGATATTGGAACATTCTGGATTTGGGATTAGAGATAATCTATTCATATTTCCTAAGTGCTCCATTTCAACATTTTTTTGCTGCTAATATCCATGAAGTCTTTTTTCATATACTATTGGATATTACCTTTAATATATTTATTTTTGAAGAGTATTTATTTTGTAATGCAGAGCTTAGCTTATTTGTAAACTATTAATTCACAGGGTTCTTATTGTTTTCAATTCTCCAATTTAAACAATATTACTTGCAAATAATAATTTTTCTCCTAAACCATAATTTTACTATTAGCATCTTCTTCCCATTTGATAACAATAATAATAAACTTCTAGAATACTACTAAACAATTGTGGTAAAAGAAGGCATTCTTGGGCTGGGGATGTGGCTCAAGCAGTAGCGCGCTCACCTGGCATGCGTGTGGCCCGGGTTCGATCCTCAGCACCACATACAACAAAGATGTTGTGTCCGCCAAGAACTAAAAAATAAATATTAAAAAAATTCTCTCTCTCTCTCTCTCTCTCTCTCTAAAAAAAAAAAAAGAAGGCATTCTTGACTTCAACAGACTTTAATAGCAATGCATTTCACATCGTGCCCTTAAGTTAACCTTTGACCTTCACAATTCTGGAATGAGAACTAGAACTTATAAAGGTCATCATCCTTCTATATCCCTTTCAATTTTGTAGAATAATTTGAAGAGCACTGGCATTAGTTCTTCTTTAAAGGTCTGATAGAATTTAGCTGGGAATCCATCTGCTCCTGGGTTTTTCCTTGTTGAAAGGCTCTTTCTTAGTGCTTGTACCTTGTTGCTAGTTATTGGTTAGTTTAGGCTTTCTACACCCCCTTAACTCAATTTTGGCAGGTCATATGTGTCTAGAAATAGATTCATTTCTTCTAAGTTTTCCAATTTCTTAGAGTAAAAGTTTTCAAAATAGTCTCTAATGATCCTCTGGATTTCTGTCTATGGTGATCTCTCCTTTTTGTCTCTAATTTTGTTAATCTGTGCCTTCTCTCTTTTGGTTAGTTTTCTTTTTTTTTTTCCCTAAATTTCATTGATTTTAGTTCTGATCTTGATTATTTCCTTCCTTCTATTGGTTATATAACTGGAATGTTCTTGTTTTCCTAGACCTCAGGATGCAATTGTTAGGTTGTTTATTTGGGAATTTTCTGATTTTCTTATGTAGGCAGTTATAGCTACAAAATTTCCTCTTAGAACCACCATCATAGTGTCCCAATGGTTCTGGTATATTGTATCACTATTCTCATTTGATTGTTAAGAGTTTTTTAATTTCTCCTGATTTCGTCTACTACCCATTCTTCATTCAAAAGTGCGCCATTCATCTCCCATTTGTTTATATAATTTCTGTAGGGATTTTTGGTGTTGATTTTTAATTTCACTTCATTACAATCAGATAAGATGCAAGAAATTGTATCATTTTTCAAATACTTGCTAAGAGTTACTTTGTTGCCTGGAATATTATCTTTTTGGAGAAGGTTCCAAGGGCAGCTGAGAAGAAAGTGTATTCGCCTTGTTGGATGAAATATTCTACAGATGTCTGTTAAGGCCATTTGATTTAAAATGTTTTTACGTCCATACAGTCTTCCAAGTTTACGTCTGGATGACCTATCTATTGGTGAGAGAGGTGTGTCACAGTCACCAGTATTATTATACAGGGGTCTGCTTGAGTGTTTCTGTAGGGTCTGTTTTATGTAATTAAGTGCACCAACATTTGGAACATAAACATTTATGCTTGTTATATCTTCTTGTTGATTGTTCCTGGTATTATCAGTATAAAATTACCTTCTTTGTCTCTTCTCATTCATTTTGATTTAAAGTCTGCTTTGTCGGATATGAGTAGTTACTACTGCTTGTTTTCAGGCTCAATTTGCATAGTATATCAATTTCCATTCTCTCACTTGCAGCCTGTAGCCATCTTTCCCTATAAGGTGAGTCTCAAACAACATATAGTTGAACCTTGTTTTTTAATCCATTCTACCTGCTTATATATTTAATTGGGAAGTTGAAACCATTCACATTCTATGTTATTATACAGAGTTGATTATTAATTCCTGCCAGTTTGACTTATTCCTAATATTAAATTTGGTCCCGTTTCTCATTTGCTTAGCAATTCTTCAAATGAGATTTGATCACTAGTGGGATCTGGGATTTGGGTTTTTTGTTTGTTTGTTTGTTTCTGTGTGAACGATTTAAGTGTTTTCTGAAGTGCTGGTTTAGTAGTCATGAATTCTTTAAGTTTCTGCTTTTCTTGAAAAGTTTTTATTTCTTCTATGATTCTAAAGGATAGCTGTCCTGCGTATAGCAATCTTGGTTCCCAGTTATTTTCTTTTTTTTTTCTTTTTTTTTTATATTTCTCTCTTTCCCCTCGTTATTTTATTTCAGGATTTGGAACACATCATTCCCAGCCCTCCTGGCTTTTAGAGTTTTTGCTAAGAAATTGGAAGCAATTCTGATTGGATTGCCTCAAAAAGCAACCTAACCTTTTTCTCTTCAGGCATTTAAAATTCTGTTATCTTTCTGTAGCTATAATGTGTCATGAAAAAAGTTGTTTTGCTCTTGTCTATTTGGGGTTCTAAATGTCTCCTGTATCTGGATGTCCAGCTCATTCTCAAGGTTTGAAACTTTTTTCTGTTATTATTTCCCTGAAGAGGTTATCCATGCCATTAGCTTAAATCTCACAACCCTCTTCAATTCCAATCATTGTTAAATTTGGTCTCTTAAGTTGTTCCAGAGTTCTTGTATATTCTGGTCATTCTTTTTTTATCATGTGAATTTTCGAAGTCAGCCACTTTGTCTTCCAGTTCTGAGATTTTGTCTTTGGCATGGTCTACTCTATTATGGAGACTTTCAACAGAATATTTTATTTGATTTATTATGTCTTTTGCTTCCAAGATTTGTTTGTTTTTCAGAATCTCTAACTAATTGAATTTCTCATATCCTGTACTGACTTTCTCACTTCATTCAGTTGCTTTTCTGTGTTCTCTTCAAATTCATTATTTTTATAATCATTCTTTAAAATTCCTTCTGATATTTCATCCACTTCAGTATCTATGGAGTTGGCTATTGGCAAATTATAAACTTTAGAAGGCACTGTATTACCTTGATTTTTCATAGTCCTTGAATCTCTGTTTTTGTTTTACACATATCCTGGAATATTCTTCCACTCTTATGTGGGGGCCTTTTTAGAGTATAACCTCCTCCTAAGTGTTCTAGAGCGATCTAGATTAACATCCATCATAGTATGGTATCCACATCCTTTGTGTTAATTATGTTTTTGCTAAAGGAGTGAATATCCTTGAGCGGGATCTGAGAGACATCCTAGCTCTTCCTACTTAGAGGTCTGGCTATTAGTTTAGAGGTTTTTGACTCTTCTACTCTCTTTATTAAAATATCACTTTAGTCTAGTATGGTTAATTTGTGTATGTGCTGTCTTCT